TGTGTGTAAACAAAGTAAACCCAGCGAATAAGATGATTGGAGATTGGAGGTAGCAACAAAGGAAAATAAGAGTTGCGTTGCAGGTAATAGTTTGAGTTTGTGCATGTATTGCATATCGTTGTCATGGGCTTTAGCAACTGCACTTGGAGGAGAACCACGTCGTTATGGGACCCGGAGAATCGAAGCTTTTCTTTTTGTGGTGGGAAATAAAGGAAATACTCTAAGCTAGCTAGCTATAGGAAAAGCACCAAACATAAACACTTTTCATGAAAAATTATACTTTGTTTTCTTCTTTTTAATTAAATAATTCCAGTCGACTTACATCAGAGGTGGAAAGACACATTTTCAAAAGGATGGTATACTTTTGCTAGTTTTTCTGTTTGTGTTTTTTTACCCGATTGGATGTATGCAAGTTGCAACAACCTTGCACATGAATATTGTATACCATTCCCAAATGTTTAATGCTTCACTAACTTTTTTTCAAAGGAATATTAGAGGAAAAGTTCGACCACAGGACCTCAAGTGACTGCTCCTAACTACTTAAACTATAAGTCCCTTGCATACTCCATTAACTTTGATTCTACGTTAATTATCGTATATTGATTATAAGCAAAAAGTAAAAAAAATAGATAAAGATGCACATTTGGTGTTCACCAAGGTGATCCATTTGATCAAACTTGGGAGGAAATTTCCTTAATGTCAACCCCTCATTGGTGGCCTAATATCTAGAAAATAAAATACACTTATAATTAATTAATTCGCAATTTTAAACAACATTGACTTGAGGTATCTAGATCAAGACATGTGGTGTATAATGAGAAAATGATGGAGGTGCACATGCGTGTAAGCATCTTAAATTGAACAAGCGCTGGTGATTGAATCATATATATATATTGAGGCATCCTTTAAATAATTTTATTTGAGAGACCCCCTTTAGGGTACTTTACAATATTTTTTTTTTCAATGATCCAAACTATTTTTAGGTTTTCATTCATAGATCATACTTACAAAAACTTAGACAAATCGGAAACCGTTTCGACATCTAATTGTGTTCTACAAAATCAATGAACACGATGCTTTAAGAAAGTACTAAAATTTCAGTAACTCAATTGAGTGGTCGAATGATATCGGATTCAAGTGGTTTTTTTGTAGATATGATCTTTGAATAAGTATCTACAAAATAGACGGTTTGAATTAGTAAAATATAATCTGGTTGAATTAGTGAAATACAATCTGGAATGGGCCTTACAAGGAGTGTCCCTCAATGAAAGCTACATACATATAATATTGCAAAGTAGCTAGCTTATAATTTTAGAGATCTAATTAACATCGAAGGATTTAAAAATATGGTTTGAAAAAGAAAACTAAATAGATTATCATCAGATATAAAATTTCCACTTTCCATGTGTTGGCCAGTTGTCTGCCAATGGCTTGCAATGTGGGAATATCTGTAGTCTCCTCTTCCACTTAATAAATATGATTTCTTTTTTTATTTTATTTTTAAAAAAATAATCAAAACACTGGTAAATAAACACTTCCCATCCTAAGAAGGAATGAGATTCACTTCTCCGCAGAAGATAACACGTTCTGAGAATCTGTTTCTTTAGGCAAGAAAGATGTAAACATTTAACGTACAATTTTAACATCAGCACAATATATATATCTTGTCAGCCTTTTATTCTCTTCAAGCTAACATCAATATCGTTTCTGAGTCAGTAATGGAATCAAGGAAACAGCCCATCATCACTTTTATCCTTTTTAATGGACTTGTATACAGGGCGCGCACATTCCAGTTATGTGTAGGACGGACGAGTTGAGAAAATATTACCTATATTGTATACGCGATTTAAGTCTTTTAAGGTGTTGAATGATTAATTAGAATTTAAATTTAAGATTTATTGTCTCAAATTCATTCATCGCTTCAATTTTAAAAAGACATAACATGATGCATAGAGAATTTGTCTATAAAAGAATATTAGGTGCATATTTTGGACCAGATAATATTCTTCTTCAGATCGGAAATGAGGCGAGCAAGAAGAAGGAAGAAGACCCGTAAAGCATCGCAATCTCTTTCTTGAACTTAGTTAAGTCATCGTCATGATCAAGTTGGATAAGATTAGTATCGAATTTAGGCACAAATCTTATAAAGTAAATGTTAAAATAAAATTCTTAGAGAAAAGAGCACAGATAAAACAAACCCTAACAACCACTACTTAATCATTTGTTAAACAAAATTCTTAGTGATCATGTTTCGTGAAGATGGTAGTGGGGTATAACTAGGTTCATGTTTTCAGAATTAATGTGGAGTATATTCCAAGTAGCACCATTAACATTAATAATACAGTTTCACACGTTAAAAAAGGTATCAACTCTCTCTCTCTCTCTCTCTCTCTCTCTCTCTCTCTCTCTCTCATGCAATGCAAGGAAGGGAGTGTTGGGTGGCTTTGCTTTTGTTGTCCAATTACTTCATTGGTAAGGTAACGAGACTAAATGGAAGGAAGGAAGGAGGGTATCTTTTGACTAGAATTGGATTGGAGATTTCAACTTTAGATAGGTCCAATTGTGCTGCTGCTACTTACCCTTTGAAGCCCCTTTAACAAAAAGTAGGGGATCGATGAGAATGAATTGGTGACTTGGAGGAAACTACGCAAAATCGAGAGAGAGAGAGAGAGAGAGAGAGAGAGAGAGAGAGAGAGAGAGAGAGAGAGCTACAAATAAAAAGGAGGGCCTTGAGAAGGAACAATGCTTCTGATTTTGATGATATCAGATATGTTTTGTGTTATAGTGAATCTGTGTGTGTATGGTCCATAATGGCCATTAACATCACCCATCATCATCATAAAGTAGAACAAGTATAATGCTTCCCTCTCTCTCTAATACAAGCGATAATCTAACTACAAGGAAATATGATTTCTCACACACATACTACAAGATGCCATAGGAAATATGATTTCTCGCAAACCCTCTCGCTCTCTTTTTAATTAATTACTTTCAATTATTTTAATGAATTTAACAAATGAGATTAATACAATGAGTACATGTCACACATCCATTTTATCCAATCAATTCCTATGCCTTTGTCTTCTCCACTAGTCACTTCTCTCTGGCTGGACTTAGGGGACCATTCTATTAATCTCTATATTATGTATATTAGCTAGCTCTCATTCAAATTTGCACTCACCATCTCACATCTTCATGTGGTAATTAAATTAACTAACAGCAAGACTGGTGGAACTTGGCTCATCTAGCACTAATTGGACCCCTAAACACTTACTATGCACGTGATTTATTATAGGTATTAATATATATATATATATATATCCATGATAATGATTTCATACCCACCATTACTATTTATTTAATAATTCAATTCGTTCGTCAATGGGGTCTAACTCAATGGGAAAGAACATTGACTTACAGACTAGTGGTCCGGTAATGTGCGTATAAAATTTCCCTCCCCCTTGTAATTTAGACTACCACTTGTATTTAAAAATAAAAATAAAAATTTCATTCAGCTTGTCATGCATAAAAATATGCAAGAATATAGGGATGTAAGCCCATCCCCAAAGCCCAACAAGTAGTCTTACCATAATATATGAGCTGAGGGTACATTGGATCAGAAGACAAAATAACATGATATTGAAATAGGGCCTTGGCAGGAAAGACAGAGACATGTATTTGAGCAAATTAGCAACTCCTTTTTCATATAACCTTTGGCAGCTTTCAAATAACTCGAAGTAGAAGAATTCACGTAAAATGTCTAATGCATAATCATGGTTCAACTCAATTTAGCCGAGTGGATAAGGGCATTGACTTGGAGACCAATATTATTTAAAAAATCAAATTCTAATCAGATCCAACCATGTATAATTAAGAGTGCTGCTATTTCTGCCCCTATCCTATTTCCCCACCTTATCTTCAACATTTTAAAGACACCTTATCTTTATTTTTTTCAACTTCATTATGGTTTACAGTTTTCTGTTTTATTTTTGTATTGTCCCTCTTTTACATATCATTACTGAAAACCCCAAATAATTATGTACATTGTGACAATAAAACTAAAAAAAAAATCAACCATAAATTAAGAAGACAAAGAACCCTACCCAAAAGAAAGCCATTACCTAATATTAACAGAGCTTTTCCGCATAAAAATGGAAGAAAAGGAAGGCTATTATGCAGAGTTAAAGGCATAAGAAGCGGGACGGTGAGAAAGGGGATGGGTGAGGTTAGGCATTAATTATTTTTTTGGTATAATTGAATAATTCGGGCAGTATTTTTTTTAATATTTTTTATTCTTAATAAAGATAATTTGCTTGAATTAATACTTAATGGGTATTTTAGGAATAATGGTGGGTGGAATGGAAAGATAGGATTGTATTTTTTTTCAATTTTACATGGTGGGTGGAGAAATTAAACAAGGGGTCAGAAAATAGCAGGACTCATAATTAATTGAGTCTTAATTTACCAATTTAGACTCAACGACGTATAATTAATTGGCATTGATCCTATTCCATATCATTATCTATATATAATTTTCATTATCATAAGTGGATTAGCCTGTTTTACTAGGAAATATGAGCATAAAACTAAGAAATCAGTTGAAATTGATCTTACACAATTTAGGTACGTGATCAATTAGCTGACCAATAAAATGAGACCGGATAAATAGGCAAAACGTTTATGGCGCCTCAAATCCAAATTGATGGCAGAGTAAGTAATTAACTAGGAAACTGAGACCCAATCCGTAACTATCGTAACCACCTCCCAAGGGTCGGGATTCCATGAAACTCATGCACGCCCCGCGCTTTGCTTGGACCCCAAACAATCCAATAGAAGGCTGTGATCTAATCAGAAACAAGAAATGAGAGTCCACGTAACGCATCAGATCATCATCGTCATGATCATCAGCCAGGAGATAGACACATGAATGGATAGAGTCCAATTCATCAACAACTAATTAATTTTTGAAACGAAAATCC